TACTTTGGTGATGGCGTCGTTCAGCTCGCAAATTCTTCTTTGTTGTCCATCTGGTAACCTTGAGATGATCAGAATATCGTCCGCGAACCACAGGTAGCTTGAGTAGTGCGTAATTACCTTCAGCCTTCGATTATTCAAATGAAGTGTTGAAATCATTTTGAATGCTGTAACTTCGGTGATATTTCATCACCCTGTCGAATGCTCTTTCTGATTCTGAACTTGTGATTTCGGGCATTTTTACACCAGCAGTTGCATACTTGTAAATCATGGCGATGAAGTCTCTTCATCGTTTGTCGATTTCCAGACTCGTTAAAGAATCAAATGAATATCACATGTAGACTAAAAATGCTTCTCGAAGTCGAAGAAACCGAAGCAGAGAGGAAGGTGATATTCGCTGCTTGTCTGAAATACCTGTTGTGCCATATGGAGAGAAACCGTGGTATCAAATCCATTTCTGAACTAGTATATGCTCATTAGCATTACTGGAATCTTCATTTTTTGGCATGCAAAAGGGAAAACGAAAATCCGTTCCTTACATTATCTTTAATGAACACCGTCTGTGACACCCCGTTTTCATGACGCTTATTGTTCTTTGCTAATCTCCGTTTTGGTCATCAACAGATGTGCGTACAGTATCCGGTTTATTTCCAGAAAATAATGCTCTTTATTTATCGACGTCACAAGGATGAAGAACAAATGATCCGACCAAGAAACTTTCGACTTTTCGACTGTGAATCTGATATTTTACCAACTGATTAATACTCATCTATGGATAAAGTAAAAACACTAAGTTTGAGTAACTTTTTCTACATGCTAACTAGCAGCGTTATATTTGAATGTCCAGATTTCTCAGCCATTTACCGGCATTGGGGAGAATATCCGGGACATCGGACATAGTGGCACAAATCTTTCGTGTTTGAAAATCCCACGTTAAACACGTCAAGATATCTCGCCGACGCCAGCTCGGGATCTGTTTAAGACAAGAAACGACTATGCCACAGCAGCAAACAACACTTAATACAAAATTGAGACAGTCTCCACCAGCGCAGACAGGTCCAAGCACGTCATCTTGTTAGTCAAGTTATCACAATCAAAAATGATGACAAGAACAACAGGTAATAATGCACTGCGTGGTCTAATCTCTGTGGCTAAAATACGCTGCCCGTATGACTTTGTTTCCAACCAAAGAACAAAGATAAAAAACAACATAAAACAGGGTTTATTTATAAAAAACGCAAGCAGTATAGTCAAGCGGATGATTCAGCAGTATGGACGTTTCGATCAGTATTTCACTGGCCTTCTTCAACGTAAGGACATTGGGCGACTGACCTCGAAAGTCCATTCGAAGAGCAGGTACGTGTGAAGACAAAAGGCAAACACTTAATCGGTGCTGTTAGTCAAAAAGTTTTTGACGACAGGGGCGACAATATGCATAATGCATAAATCAACCGTTTTATGCTGCTTTTCAGTGCCCACCAGCGCACGAACGAAACACTCAAGAACGTAAACTATCAATAATTAGCCAACTCTGAACTAATATCAAACCTTGAATAAATGCACATTACACGATATGTAGCCGACCTTGTTCAGAAAATGAACAGTGACTGCGACCAGAAACAAATTTACTGAAGAGTAAACTATATAAAATCAATAAAAATCAGTGTTTTTTTCTTTGACGACGAGACACCACTGTCCATTCGTCATCAGCTGCAGGGGGCATTTCAGAATGTTTCTGTTGCGATGAGGACGAAGAATCTTGATGGCTGCTGTCCATGTCCATATGTTGTTCCTCATCATCATCACCAGAAGCAGCATCGCTACTTGCGGAGGTATCGCACCGTTCTTGATCTAAAGTCTGAGCATGGGATTCGTCAGCATACCCATTCGCCTTCCTCAACTGACTGAAAATCGTTTCGATTCCTGACTGGTCTCCAGCTCGCCAACATTCGAAACACTGACATAGACAACGGGCGACCACTGCTCCACTGCCGTCTTCAACCAGCAAGTCAAACTCGTTGTCCAAAATCTCCTCGATATATGCTTCCACCTGCGATTCGCTGACGTTCGTCTGCGAAGTAATGAAGGCAGCTACCGTATCTACCATCCACTCTAACTTGGCCTCAGTTACGTCTCCTCCGAGGTGATTCGCAGCAGCATAGCGCAGGACTTTCCACGTGTCAAACGTGGAACGAACGATTCCACTAAACGACTGATCTGCAGCAGTACCCATGCAATCTCTAAACATCTGTGAAACAAAAAACACAAGTAACAACAAAAAACATTGAAATTAATATTTGCATCAAGCCAGACTTATCAGTGACAATGAAATTCAGTGACGACTAGTCTTGAGATATGGGCATGCTATGATTAAACGATAGAGAGGATTATGCCAAATTTTTGCTCCGAATTTAGAATGAATGTCAGAGCATCATTATGTCTTAATTTGCTTGTACATATCTGACTTGAGCGCAAGAAGGAATCGCTTGAAAAATTATGAAGTTTTAATGATTAGTATACTTCAAAGCTACGAATCCTCATTTCAGAGAGGTGTTAACAATTTTACAGAGAAAACGATAGTAAAACTGAGGTAGAATATAGGAAGCAGCAGCTACTCACTTTTGCGAAACAACAGCTCGTATGTGAAAATTTACAAGAACAATAAATCCTGCTTCAGATTTTTAATAAGAGAAAATAAAAATGTTTTAATCAGATAACAAAAAATAACTGCGAAACTAAAACAAATGAAAATAGCTACTAACAAAAATGAACAAAACTGTCGGCTTATTGGATGGCATGTTCATGCAGCACAAAGGGATCAGTCAGCTTTGTAAGTTTAAATTTTTCACGCATTCCGGAATCACATGCTCAAAACTGCTAACTGAACGTTTTGCAGGATATCAAAAATTTTCAGGAAGATTTCTAAGCACTGCGGCAAATTCAATCAAATATTATCCGTGCTCAAAATGCTCTCTATTCTTTGCACTGCCGTTCCAATGCCTGCTACTGATGACTCACTAGAAACAATGCTTCTCATAGCCTATTCAAAAACGTGAACGTTGCCTACAGGCAACCTGTCAATGCACTCGTCAACACGGCTGATATTTTATTACTTGAATAGAAACACTGGCGAATACCACTTTTAGCAGAATCAAAAGCAAGAAACCTGCGTCACATGCAGCGTAATTACAGAAGCATAAAATCCTTACAAAAATTAAACATCCGCGAAACACAGCGAATACACATTAGAAACATTAAACAACGAAGTAATTTTTTATAAGAACGAT